GAAGGGACTTCATTGGTCACCTAATCCAAACCCTGTCTGAATATTACTAAACTTTAGCAGAGATGAGAAATAGGTGAGTGTGGTCACCAGATGAGGTTAGAACTCTCCCTTGGCTCTATTGGCTCCTGTATGGTGATTGTTTCTGGATAATTATTTAGAAAGGTTATCCTCCCTAGAAGGAGACTGGTTAAATATATGACTCCATTGATTTACCATAACTCACACATACACACATCCCAATAGCTAGCTGATTGGTTCACTTTTCCATGTGGGGAGTAAAATGCAATCAATAATTTGTGGTGTTCATTTTAGTGGATGAAGCTCAGCAACAATAGTAATTGCGGTTCTGGACCCTAGAGGGGTTCAGAAAGTAACCTTCTCAAATGGGTGCTATTTATTGCAATGATTTAGTACTATTTTGAAAATAAACAAAGGATTACAATAAAAAATGATTCCCAGAATTCCCTAGACAACACTGTCAAAGAGGAAGTTCTGACCCCATAAGTCTAAATTCCACCAAAAGATAAGGTCTGAGTTAATAAAACAAGATATTATTGTTATTATTATTATTATTATTATTATTATTATTATTATTAATCTCTGAGCTAGTTCATAGTTTTTCAGCCTTTTTTTCAGCCCCTCTCCAATACACTCAGCAATCCTTCCCCAGTCCATATGACTGGTTAAGTCTCAACAGATCTACAGTTTTTAATCGGATTCACAGAAATTCAGTCCCAATGGCTTATTGAATCCATTTTATCCCTTATCTGGTAACTAAAGAGTCCATTTTGCTCTTAGAAAAATACTAATGCTACAAGTGAATAAAAATCACAATGGGAGTGAGGATTTTTATTTCCCTTTTTAAAAAACAATTGCAAAACAGACATACCCATTAAATACCTCTAATCAATTATATTTAGACATTTTAGGCAAATGTTTATAGCTTTGCAATTATAATGAATCCCCTTTTGACCCCAAGGGAGAAGGTTAAACCGATTTGAAGTCAATCAACAGATGGAATAGAGAGGTTGGAGCTGTTTGTGTGCATTAATAGCACAACCCTACAAAAGTGTATTTAAAGGTTAACTCCGTAGCTTACAATGGTGTTTACTTCCCAGGTATATGGTTTTCGAATTGCAACCTTGGTAAATAATATGACCTAAATCTCAACTAGATAAAATATATGTCAGTGCTTATTTCTCAAATTCTCTTTAGCTCAGCCTGCCCTAGTTGGCTGAGGCTAGCAATTGGATTTAGGCCGTCCATTTTTTTTTTTACATATTCTCCAGTTATGCAGAACTTCATGCATGTTAAGTACTAATCTCCAATATAGAAAAAGGGAACATATACATTATTTAAAAAGCAACCCTAAGGGAAAAAATAAATAAATGGATTTTGGTTACTTAGCTTACTCTATATCAAGTCAACCTATTGATCTTACAGTCTTCTATACATCTCCAGTAAGAATATTTGTGCAGTGTACAAACATTTATACATATACACACAATAACGTATGTCTGTATATGCATAAATGAAATATTTATAAAACATATATACAGGTATGTACCTACTGTGGCTATTATACACAAATTTATGTAAACACACCCATCCACACATATGTATGCAGTGTGTGTATGTGTGTGTTTGGAACATAGTCAATAAAGGTTGTCTCTTCATAAATGGGACCTGATTGTCATATTTGTTCAGTGTAGAGAAGGTTAGTAGAAGTTATAGTCGTGACAATGGACACAGTAGATTATTTCCCTTTATCATATATTTCTTTTTCTTATTTTCTTCTATACTATACTTAAATGCGCTTCAATGAACCCATTCAAATGTTGGTTTAGCTTTAGTTAATTTACATCTTTCCTATGACAACAGCGGAGCACATTTCAGCCAAATGTTACAGGAAACTGACTGTATAGAATATCTGATCCTTTAACACAGAGATATGCCAATGCTACTGCACACTATATTATGATATAGTATTTTTAATTATTCTATTATGCTTTTCTAGTAAGTAAAAAAGCGATACCATCTGGTCAAATTTTACATTGGTTTTGGTATACAAGCCTTCAGCAGTCATAAAATATATATATGGTTATTTTCAGGCTGAAATCATAGTAAAAGAAAATTAGTATTTAGATTTTTTAAAAATAGTACATTTTAATGATGTTTGCTTCTGTACTAATCCCTCTCCATGGGATTGCAGTCTTTTGGTTTACTCACTTTTTGATTAAAAAAAAAGATGTTGCCAATTTTTTGGTTGCTCTTTTTTGTATTGTTCTCCCATTTCAGACTTGATTTGTCGCAATCCCTCTCTCCCATAAAGTGGAAGTGGAATATTAATTTGTACACTAAGGAAAGGAAAACTGGAGTGGCTTTCCTTAAATATTCTTGCTATGCCTTTAATTAATGTTTGAAATGGTAGGTCTTGCACCTTTTACAGCCTCCTGTTAACTATGGCAGAAAGATTATGATTAACGATTTCCTCAATATTCATTTCTATTTTTGATGATGTGATTTTACTTGCTGATTTTAATAATTCTGGTTTTAATTGTTTGGTTTCAATTGTAATTGTTTATTTGATATATGTGTGTATGGCATCAAATTGTTGCCTGTTGTAAGGCTGCCTTGAGTCCCCTACGAGGTTATAAATATGGTAAATAAATAAATAAATGACTAGTTCTCATGCTTCATTCTTTTCTTTACATTTCACATAATGAAATTCTATTCTTTTACTATAAAAGCCAAAAGAAAGAAAAAAGGAATGCAAAGAAAAACTACAGCTAGCCATCCACATTTGCTGAGGCTAGGAAACTTAAAAAAAACACAAATAGAAGCTTTCCTGAACATAAATAAAAACTTTCCTGAACAGTATGTATATATGATGAAACATCAGAGGTACAGATGGAATGTGGAGAGGAGAACAGTGCAGGTAATATAATAATACTTTGTATTTGTGCTGGGAGGAACTTCTGCTTGAATTCCACTTTTTCAGCTAATTACAGAAAACAATGTACTTTAGCCTCACAATTGTGGAAGCAACTGAAATTGAAATGGAACATAATATCTAGACAGATGTGCCTCTTAGTAGTCTCTGATATCTCAGGTTTTATTTCTCATACTTGTCACATATTGGAAATGAATTAGATGGACACAAATCCTCATAGAGAAATAGGTTAAACTAAATGGTCAACTGTTTCCCCTTTCCATGTTAGTTCTCCAGCCATCACTGAAACAATTGCCAAATAAATATTCCTCATTGTTTAAAAAATCCTGTTCAAATCTTATTTAGGACCTAACATAGATGTATAGATATATAGAGATATGGCTTTAGAGTTACATTGTTAAATGCTTTGTTCACCAACTTTTGTCTATGACATACGAGAGTCCAACTTCACCACTATTAAATATTTGCTATTTTCATTTAGATTTTGCAAAAGAAAAGATCTATATCTTTCCAAACTGCTGAAGGAAAGAAAGCGCCTCAATAAATAAGAAATGCAAGCAAAACATATTATTAAACAATCATAAGAACACTTAAAAAAATAAGTGCTTAACTTCTTAAATAAAATAACAATAACAAAACATTGACAAGCTGTGCGTTTATGACTCCATTTGTGTTATTTGAAATGTTCCTTTTTGTGGCAAAGCCACTTCCATCCTCAGAGAAAGCAGCGTCGCTTTTTTTCTCATCATAAGAATCCATGGTAAATAATAATAACCTGACATGTAGATTCTTAAACTTCCCATAAATATTGGTCATGAGCCTGCCATCTTCAGCCCAACAGCTGCCTCATATACATACAATGCCTATCAATCTTAAATCAATTGATAAATTATATAATTTCCACAATACAACCTCTTCATCTGCCAGAAACTTGTTCTGAGCTCCATACCTTCACACTAGGAGCCCCCGGTGGTGCAATAGGTTAAACTCTTGTGCCGACAGGACTGAACACTGACAGGTCGGAGGTTCGAATTTGGGGAGAGTGTGGATGAGCTCCCTCTGTCAGCTCCAGCTCACAATGCAGGGGCATGAGAGAAGCCTCCCACAAGGATGGTAAAACATCAAAACATCCGGGTGTCTCCTGGGCAACGTCCTTGCAGACAGCCAATTCTTTCACACCAGAAGCGACTTGCAGTTTCTCAAGTCGCTCCTGACATGAAAAAAAATTCTTCACACTGACAATCCTGCTTTTTTCTCTCTAGAGTTTTCCTGAAACCATTTCTTTTGCACACTATAGAATCTTCAATACTGGTATACCAGCCTACTGCACCTGTAACAATCTACAGATGCTTAAATGCAGCTAGTATCATTCCTACCACTAAATACATGTTTTCCTTCCTATATGTGCTATGCCTGTTTGGAAGTGCAATGAAATGAGAAACTCTTTTCAGCACATATTCATTGACAAGGACCATGCTGGGTTTGGTTTGCATGGGGAAGGGGTAAAAAGGGAAAGAAAAATAGGGTCAGGTAAGGAGTGTGCCGTCGAAACAGCAACATATAAAATAAGCTTCATCCATATCTACCTCTTGTCCCATTGTAGCAAAGGCTTCATATTTTCGGAAATGGCCATGGAGATTAAACTGTATATTATTAAGCTCTAGCTCTCACTTACATGGTAAAAGACTAGCTGTGGAACAGTTGTATCAGTAGTATCAGAAATCTCTATAGTACGATCAGAAGGGGGGTTATTCTTGCCTAGATGAGCATTGGGCGATGCAGTTTCAGGGAAATGGAGGCAACACGTTTTACTCTTACACAACAGACCATGTTGAAGCATCCTCAGTGCAAAATATGGTAGCACAATTCAGAATCCCTTTACTCTTCTCTGAGTATCTCCCAGGGAAAAGATTGGAATTCCTTTCCTTTCACCCAATGATTACATTATATTTTAAAATGGTACACTGGATACAATTAGTTCCTTTAGTTTCCCCATAGAGTAGATTATTCCGTATGCAGATTTCTGTCCGTCTGACTTGATCTCAGCTTGAAAAGAAAAAATCCTTTAGACAATGCCAATCTTCCATGTTCCACCAGGATGCCAAAGCAAATGAAGTAGAAATGAATCCATAGAAGCTCCAGATATCCGTGCAGTAAAAGTCACCAGGTTCGAGTCAGGTTTTCCCTTTTTTTATCCAGATCAAAGGCATGAATACAACAAGGCATTGCTAGTTGTGATGGTCTTTTGATATAACAGGTCAGGTTGTTAAGGCCTTTTGTCTATGCAGAGTTATAGTAATGCAGAAGCCTGATTGAATAGAAATCGAAGGGTGGGGGAACAGAGAAACAAAGAACGAACGAGAGAAGAGAGACATGTCAGTAATGTCACAAAGTCAACACTCTGTCTACAGAGGGAGAAATGCACACAGCTTGCCCTTTGAAAGCTTCTCCATATCTTTGTATTTAATACTGTTGGAGTTAAGAACACATTGTAGTGGAGTTTAGTGGCAACTGAACACATTCATTCACGCACTCCATCAGAGGAAATGCTGAGAGTTTCTATCCTAGGATATCCAGGTAGACTGGGGAGGCCTTGGCCAAGTTCTGGAGGAGGGAGTGGATTTCTTTGATGTTAAGCCTCATGTGAGGCTCCCGCTGCCAGCACCCCAACATCAGATCATAGACTTCCTTTGGGCACGTACGGGGTCGCTGTAGGACACGGCCCTGAGTAATGCACTCGATGACCTGGAGACACAGAGAAAGGGAACAAAAAGAGAGCATTTATTCTTTTCCTGCTGATTCACCAGACTATCACTTGATGCATGTCAAGACCAACTCCCAATTTGCATTTGCTGAACATATTCACACTCTTTTTACTACAAATGTCTTGAAAGAGGTTCCTGGGTCCAACTAAACTAGATAAAATCAATCACAGCTTCTTCTTTTGTATCCAATGCTAGGCTAGTGGGAAAATTGCAAGAGGTTAGAAGGGTACTGCTACTGCAGAGGTGAGCAAAGGTAGCCTTCCATATTGTTGAACCACAGTTCCCATAATCTTTCGCTGCTGCCTTTGTTGTACTGGAGTTGCATCCAAGATCTAAAGGGCAACAGCTGCCCAACCTTGAACTTATGGTTATGGAAGTCGTGACAGGACTAGTACTCTAATTCAAAAAGCTAAGATCAATGAGCTGTATAAGGACTTGCGATCCTGCTTGTGTGAGAATTTATAAGATGGCTCAATGAACAGCTTGCACATGTTGAATGAGACTATCGTAGTGATGAAAACTAAAGTTTACAAAGAGGTAGAAGTTTTGGATTAGCAAGTTGACACAACAGGGTACAAACCATTGTTGCTATACCAAGGACGCACCTCATTGTTTGAGAGCTGGTACCATGGCTGCTTGCCATAGGTAAATATTTCCCATAGGACAACTCCAAGACTCCAGACATCACTCTCTGTGGTGAATTTTCTGTACATGATACTCTCAGGAGGCATCCAACGTATGGGGAGCATGGTATGCCCACCAACCTGAATGAAAAAGTTGAAAGGAAATTAGATGGCATTTTGAAGTTAGGTGGCATACATTAACTAAAGCAAAAGGTCCCACATCCTGTATTGGAGATCCTAAATCCTATATTTGTAAGCACTGTGATTATGATATCATGCAATGTCCTAACCCCACAACCCTGACATACCAGGAAGCAGCCACTGGGACTAATTGAGGTCTGTCCCCCTTTTGCTCAGGTCTGTCGCTTCTATTTCCTCTCATGCGACAGACAGAATCACAACTCCTGTTGTTGTTCCCCTTTGTGATAGATAGTGCTTACATGAGGAGTATGAATGTCATCCACATACTTTCCAGTTGACAGGGGACCCCCAGTGATCACAGCAGTTTTTTCCTAATAAATTGGGACTAGGGGACTTTACTAATCCCTACATAGCCACTAAACCAAAGGTTGCATAGGCATCACAAATATAGAACATTAATCAGTATGTGACCCTAGGTTACGCATTAGCAACTGCCATAGAGGATTCAGGCCAATGTGTTTTATTCTTCACTTTTTCGCAGAGGATCATATCATCTGTGACTCTATATTCACATCCTATTATATATCTGGGACCCCGTCCTTGTGCTTCTTATGATAATTCTCATTAGAATGGATTACTTTAATTCCCTGACAGTATTTTTGACATTATCAGGAAATGTTAGAGTACTCTGAAATTTTCTTTTAGACGTAGAAGATATTAGCAAAGCCTTGCAGAAGTTCAACTGGGGTTCATTCAGCATTTTCTTCCAGATGTGTGTCAGAGTTTAATTATGGTGCAAATCAAACATCATGTTTTTGACATGCAAGTATATCCAGTGCTACTGATCTACTTGTGAAAAGTACCTCTGCATGTACTTAAGGATGTATGGTTTTCACAAAACCAGGACTCACTGCTGTTTTCCAGAAGCTAAAGCAGATGGTCAAGTTACATTTATTCTTAAATGCCATCCAGATTACAGATAGTGCACTGAAAATGTATTGGTTCAATGCATATTCTTCATATTCTTCCTGCCCAGAAAGTATACGTTTATTGGATTTATATTGTGTTATTATCCCAATGACAGGGTGCAAGGTAGCTCACAAAAATGTGAAGTGTAGACATCAGCAACACAAAATTGAGCACATTTACCCATGTCCAGATGCACACACAAGGATACACTTTGGTCTTTTGTACAGTATGGCCTCTGTATCCATTGGACCAATACCTGTGGTTTCATTTATCCCCTTCTGAAAAAATATTGTCTTTCTAAGCAGTTCTAAGTCCCCCATCATGACTCCATGGTATTCTTGGGTTKTAGGTCTTTTATTTTAWTAGGGGATGGATACACACACACACATACACAYGAGGGTTCAATGAAAAGTAATGCCTCCACCTTCGTTAYTTGGGTTTGGATGGGAATATTTTAATAAATCAAACAYAGAAATAATCCTTAGAATGTGCTCTTTAACTACCACTATTCACTTTTCCACATWATCACCAGACAATTGGATACATTTCTGCCAACGATGAACAAGTTTTCTGAAGCCGTCACAGAAGAAGTCGACACTCTGTTTCCACAACCAGCATCTCACAGTTCTCTCAACGTCTTCATCAGAAGCATATCCCTGCAGATCTTCTTTCATTATCGGGAACAGATGGAAGTCAGACGGGGCTAAATCTGGACTGTATGGAGGATGCCGTACACTGATGAGATCTAGTCTCTGAAGTTCTGCTGTGGTGGCATGTCAAGTGGGTAGTCTGGCACTGTCATGCTGCAGGAAAACATTTCCCTTTTCCTTTTGGACTCTTGTTAGCCACCGTTTCAAAGTTCGCAGTGTTGTGATGTAATGCTCTGAAATTATTGTTGTTCTACATTCAAGGAAATCAACATGGATAACACCATCTGCATCCCAGAACACTGCTGCCATGATTTTTCCAGCTGAGGGCTGTGCCTTGAATTTCTTTTTCTGGGGTGAATCTTTGTGTCAATATTCCATAGACTGACACTTCATCTCCAGGTCGTAATGGTGTACCTACATTTCATCTCCTGTCACAATTGAATCGAGAAAGGCATCACCTTCATTCTCATAACGAGAGAGGAGTTCCTGGCAAATTTCAAGTGTGTGCGCTTTCATTTCAGGCATCAGTATCCCGGGTACACATCATGCACAGATCTTCCGATAGCCAAGCAAAGCAATAATGTGACCCACACGTTCTTGTGAAATGCTGATTATGCTTGAAATTTCTCTCTGAGTGATATGATGATCATCCTGAATCAATCTGTCAACCTTTTGGTTGTGAAACTCAGTGGTTGCTGTCACAGGACATCCAACACTTTTTTTGTTATGCAAGTCAGATGTTCCCACCTCAACATCTTTAAACTTGCTTGCCTAATGACGCACAGTACTCACATCAACACAATCACTATAAACAGCTTGCATTCTCTGATGAATCTCCTTTGGGGCGACACCTCCTGCTGTCAAGAATTCAATGACTGCTTGTTGCTTAAGTTTCATTGACCGACCGTCTGCGCAGGGTTCCATACTTCACACTTTAACAACACAACCATTCAATGATAAGGCTTCCCACCAAAATGGAACTGTAGAGGAGAGTCTACTGAACAAGCCAGTACCTGCCACATAGCAGTACTGCCATCTGTTGAGGAGTTGCAAAGGTGGAGTCATTACTTTTCATTCAATCCGTGTGTGTGTGTGTGTGTGTGTGTGTGTGCCCTATTTTAAAAAAACCTTCTTCCACATTGAACATGACAGATTGTAACAGCTGCCTTCAACCAAAAACCTGACTGCAGGTCTTCAAGAAACTGCTGAAAATACATTTGCAGAGCAGACTCTGCCTCTGGACAGCTTGCATCAATAAAGCAGTGAATTAGAGAACTGACAGATGTCCATTTAACCCTATGATTTTATAGATCATTTAAATTAATATTTGAAGCTCTCCCCATCCCTCTTCCTTGAACATGCATTCATAATGAAGAACTCTCAGGTCAAGTCACAATAGACAATAACCAACATCATACACATAGATCATAGAGTTGGAAGAGACAACAAGGGACATTTTAGACTATGAATTCTTCTTCTACAGGAGATTTCTGGGATAAGCAACAAGGCAGGAGTGGACCCTACACTGCTGCCCATCTCTGGTCTCAACTGCAGACATTACCACCATTAGTTCTGCATATCTGGGATTCAACCCAAATGGGACAGACCATTCTGCTGCTCTCTGATATTTCTTGGACTTACAGAGCTCCCCAGGCACACTGTGCTGACTATCAAGGGTGTCAGAACCAGACTGAATGGGTATGATTTGTTATTAAGGATGTAAAGTCTAGTGTTCATAATGCATTACCAATATGCATCTCAGACACAAACATGTACCCAGTTTCTGACCTCTTGCTCTGAGAGGTGGCAAATAGGTCTTTAAAAAAAAAACCCAAAATAACAACAACAAAACAAAACCAAGATCCTTGGAAATGCATGGCTGTACACCAGAGCAAAGGGCAAGTGCCATTAAAACATTATTAGTTGTTAGAGGGTTAGGTTCATTAAATATTAAGTGGTTCTTAAGCTTGTTCATCATATGGGATCTATGATTGCTTTGATTCAGTGGGTATATATGGTTGGGCCTTTAAAAATTAATGCAAACTGCAATTGTAAAACATGTTTCTTTTTTATTGAGGCTTTATGACTATTTAAGGTTTATCACTGCCATATGGAATGTAAAGGCCCCTAATAAAGAGTCAAATTCTTCTTACTAGCTGCCCGAGAGTTGCAAAACAATGGCATTAACACAGGAGAAGATTTTACATGTCTTAAATGCATATTCATGTAATCACACAACCACAAAATTTATTTTAAGATGCTTGTATTTCTTTCACTTACTGACTCCACCACCAAATTGCCCAAAATCATTTGGGTGCCAGAGGCTGGCATCCTTTTCTTTTCCTGTATACAGAAGCCAATTGGAAGTTGAATCTTGTCAACAGTAGTGATGGGGGAATGCCCTCCATAGCATTGGAATATCCAAGAAAGGTGGTGTGTGGCATATCTCCCTCTAGTGAATTGATGTTAGGTCAGAAAGAAGAGTGCGAGGCTCTTTGGGCACAAAAATGAGCCAGCACTCTCTATTGTATACATGAGACAGGCTGACATAAAGTCCACTTAAAGTCCCATTATCTCAAATCTCATAGGAGCCTTCTACTCTTCGAAGAGGTCATCCTCTCTCAAGACTTGAGGTGGGCCTTGTATCAGCTTGCTCACATGCTACTCCCTCTATTGCCTTTTGAACTGAGATAGGGAATCAGCTGCACTCACAACAGATTGACCCCCATCTGAGACCATTTTGCTCTCTACCCATGGTCAGTCTGTTGTGAGCAGACAACAGACTGATTTTAGGGGAAATGGCTGCCAACCACACCCACAACGGATTGACCCTGGAGCATTTGGTATGCAGCAAAATAGCCTCAGACTGAGAGCTATAATTGTGAGTGTGGCTCATAGCCACTCTTCCAGTTCTCAGCTCCACAGATGATTGGGAAGCATGTCATGCTTGATGTGTGATTGCTATGCTGTACTGGAAAGGGAGGAGGAAATACAGTGTCATCACACCAGATAGGATTCCAGCAGGCAAATGCCCATCATTTTGGTATGTGAGGGAATTTTGCTGTTTGCTAAATTCTTGGGCATTGGTTTGTTAGAGCACAGCTGGCCTCCTCTTTCAACAACAAGTTTTGGGGTATAATGAATCCACTATGAACATTATAGTTCCTTTTATTTGTATTTTTTTCAAACTGTTTTAACCTGCATACAATTTTGGATCTTTCATCCAAATGGCTTTGTTTTCAGTTGAATGCTGCAATGGTGCATGAAGATCAAGGCTAAATTTAAATGGTTTCATGGGCATTGGACTGACATTAGACACATCTACTTGACAATAACTACCACTGAGTTCAATAGGCTGGTGGCTGAATATATGCATGTGCT